CACACACACCTCTAGCTCTCTCTCTCTCTCTCTCTCTCTCTCTCTCTCACGCACACACACACACTCGGCAATCAGCAGAGCATCCCGTTGCGCAATCATGCGTGTACATGTCGCAAGATCACTGTGTGAGATGGATGTCCGGACGCGTAGCCTAGCGGCTCTTCGTCCGGAACCGGTCGCGTAGCCATGAATGTCGTACCCAAACTTGAAATTTGCACAATCTTGAGATCGCGCAGTGATAGTGCTGCCCTAACTGCGGATTTCCTAGTTTGGCTGCCCAATCTCAAGATTGAGCACGCTGAAAACAGTCGCTTATTTAAATACACTTTTAAAATGGTGATTGTGGCATATGCAAGTATAACTGAGGCAAACTAGAAAGGAATTTCTCTAATGGTTATCAAGTTATCTAATATTATAATCATTTATTATTTTAACAAAGACACATTTGCCAAACACATTGAAGAAAACTGATGAAATTAACATTTCGTAGGCTAGGATGAATTCCAAGTTTGTGCAAGCCCTGCTCACCTTGCCCAAACCAGGGATTTTCCTATTATTGAGCAAATTATCTCAACTATCCATTTATAATTTGTTAACCAATATGCAAACACAATCAAGAAATAAGATATGGGAACTCAGTCATTGTAATGATATAATATTTCGTAGCCTATGATTCCAAGTTTGTGCAACCCCTGCTCACCTTGCCCAAACTAGGTTTTGCCCAATCTCAAGATTGGTTGCCCAAACTGCGGATGCGCTAAAATTACAAGTTTATGCAAGATTCCAAGTTTGGGTACAACAACCACGGCCTAAAAAAAATTAATGGTAAATAAACACGAAATGTACGTACCAAAGTCTTAATGTTTCTCTACTCTATTTTGCCTATACTCACATGTAATTGCCGATCAAATGCTCATCTGCAACACACAAGTACACCGCACGCCCGCCCTGCGGCACACAAACAACATGAATAAGAGCGTTCTTCATCGAAAATCCTAAAAGGTTTCGGCCACAGGCAGTTGGAACGTCTCAATAAAAAAAGGTAAATAAACACGAAATGTATTTACTACCAAAGTTTTCTCTACTCTATATGTTTCTCTACTCTATATCGCCTATTATTGTCGATAACTTGCTGTAAATGCCGTTCAAATGCTCATCTGCAACACACAAGTACACCGCACGCACGCCCTGTGCACAGACAACAAGAATAAGAGAGCCTCTCTTATTCATGTTGTTTGTGCGCCGCAGGGCGGGCGTGCGGTGTACTTGTGTGTTGCAGATGAGCATTTAACCGGCATTTACATGTGATTATATGCGAAATAGAGTAGAGAAACATTAAGACTTTGGTACATTTCGTGTTTATTTACCATTAATATTTATATTGAGACGTTCCAAGTGCCTGTGCAGCCAATGAGCCACGGCACTCATGCGGCTAAACGGGCTAAACCACAGCCACAGGCACTTGGAACATCTCAATGAAAAAAAGGTAAATAAACACGAAATATATTTACTACCAAAGTATTCACTACCAAAGTATGTTTCTCTACTCTATTTCGCCTATAATCACCTGTAAATGCCGGTCAAATGCTCATCTGCAACACACAAGTACACC